ACAAGCGACTCCCCCTCGCTCATCAGGAATAGGCTCTCGTCGCATGCACTCGCACGGAATCCAATCCCTTCCAGTGCACTGGCCAGCCTGTTGTACCAGCATCTCGGGGCCTGCTTCAAGCCATAGATGGCCTTGTTAAGTTTGCAGACACGACCGGTTCCATCCTCATAGCCAGGTGGTTGAACCATGTATACCTCCTCTTCCACAATGCCATACAGAAAAGCGGTTACGATGTCCATCTGCTTCACCTTCCATTTGCGCACAGCAGCTACCGCCAGCAGCACACGTAGCGTTGGAGACTTAGCAGTTGGGGCAAACACTTCTTTGTAATCTTCCTTCGCTTTCTGCTGAAACCCCTTTGCCACCAGCCTGCTCTTGTAAACTGATGGCTCTCCTTTCTCATCCGTCTTGATTTTTGCCAGCCACTTGCACTGTATTGCCTTCTTCCCATTTGGCAAGTACACCAGGTCCCATGTGTGATTCTCCATCTGCTGTTGTACTCTGCATCTCTTGAAACGAGCCACTTCCCCCGTTGAGGCCCGGCTAGCGCATGATCCATGCTCGGAGGTTGTATTGGTGCGTAAAAGCAGTATGCAGGCTCCTTGTCATCTGACTCTTGGTCATCACCCAAGAACAGCACTGCATCTTCGCCTTGAGCCTGTTCCTGCTGCTCAGTTGTGGCTCCTCCACTTGTGGAGCTCAACAGCTTTCTCATTGCCATTCTGGTACGTGCAGGGTAGATGGTTGGATTTACCCATTCTTTCACCTTCACCCAATCCTTTGTCCCCCCACCAATCTGTTTCCTTCGCTTTGACAGACTTGGTGTTTTGGAAGCCTCTTGCTGCTGCTGCTCCGGATCCTTGACTTCAGCATCAGCTGCAATATCCTCATTGCTTCCTTCATCAGTACCGCTTGCCGTTGGCGCAGTGACTTCGCTGTCCTCAGGTTCGGACAGATCGAAGTGCATAGTGATCTCTTCCAGCTGCTGGGTGACCCTTGCCTCCGGCTGCTTCTCCCACTTGCCATACATGATGTTCTCCACAAATTTGACATCCCGACTATCAAACAGCACATTCTTTGAGGGCTCCCAGAGTAGCCACCCCTTGCTCTCTGCCGCAAGCCCAAGGTGCACACACCAAAGTGCAGATGCTCCAAGCTTTGTCCTGTACGGTTTAGGGACATGCGCCACTGCCATGCATCCGAACACTCGAAGCATGTCCACTGGAGGCTTCTTTCCAAGCCACCTCTCCAGCGGCACCCACATATCATCAGCCACCTTTGTGAGTACGCGGTTCCTTGCCACTGTAGCATGCCTCACCGCATGAGGCCACATGGAGTTCCCCAGCCCTGATTCGATCAGCAGCGCTCGCGCAGTTTCCAGGATGGTCCTATTAGCCCTCTCAGCAACGCCATTTGACTGAGGGGTATAGGACGTCGTTAGCTGATGCTCAATGCCTTGTTTCTTGAGCCACGCAGTCAGATCTCCTCCTAGAAACTCTCCACCTCGGTCGGTTCTGATGCTCTTGCATGGGTGCCCAGATTGTCGCTCGACGAACGGCAGCCAATCATCTCGTATTGTTGAGGCAGCATGATCCTTCTGCTTCAACGGGTATGCCCACATCAGCCGACTCCAGTCATCAACTATTGTCAGGAAGTACCTTTCCCCCTTACTTCCTCGGACTGGAAAAGGTCCTACGAGGTCCATGTGCACCAGTTCCAGTGCTGCCTTGCTTTTCCCAGCTACGCCGTGAAAGGGGAACCGTGTGAACTTGCTCAGCAGACACGTCTCGCACTTGGTAGCATTTGGTTGCCCAGAAAGCTTGAGCCCCTTTACTGCTTCTTCCTTATGCAGTTGCTGCAGCAATGGCATAGCCACATGCCCTAGACGCCTGTGTGCGGTTTCCCAATCAGTCTCCCCCGACCTTGCAGAAACCGTCACTCCTGCAGCACTAACTGCATTACACTCCCCCTGGACTCCAGAACCCGCCTTTACTTCTCCCAACTCCTTCTTTGTTGATTCCCATATCAGTGCAGGGATCTGCCACATGGATCTGAAGACATCTCTGCTTTCGTGTAAATCCCATAACACACGATCTCCTCGCAGCCCCTTGAATGTTTTGGATCCATTGGTGGTGGTGCTGACTCCGGCCTGGCCTAGCTTGCGCAGCGATATCAGGTTGGCCTTCAGCCCCGGTACGAGTAACACATCCTTCAGCACAACCAGTCCACCATCAGGTGCTCTGAATGCAGCTCGACCAACTCCAGCGACCTTCACTGCATGTCCGGATGCTGAGCGCACTTCAGAGATTGGAGGCGCTCGCACAGCATCCAGCAAGTCCTTGCGTGGTGTCATTGTCCATGCAGCACCAGAGTCCATGACCCACATGTCAAGCGGGTGCAATTCCTCTCCAGCCCTTGCAACAGCTGTGCCACTGTCATCTTTGTCACACACATGGTAGAACTGTCCAGCATTCCTCTCCTCATTTCGCATTCCTCTGTCATCCTTGGAGGTTTCTTCAGCAGGATCAGCTACCATGTTGGCACCTCCATGTGGTTGTTTTCCTCCATTCCCCTTCTCCGATTGGTTCCAAGGGGTCCACCAGTCGGGCTTGGTAGGGCAGCGAAACCATGGATGCCCTTCTTCCTTGCAATACCAGCACTCTCCCCTCAAGCGTGGTTCACTGTTGTCATTGTTGGAGTGACCACCTCTTCCTCTTGCACCAGCGCCACCACGCCCCCGCTGGTTCCAAGTCCCGCGACCACCTTGGCTGTGGTAAGAGCGACCGCGATTGCCACGCCCTCGATCCCTCCATGTCCCTTGCATGGCATAGCCGCTGGTGCTGTCATCACCTCCGCGCAGTGTATAGCGACGAAAATCTTCTTCCAGAATCTTGGTGCGAATCCACTCCAATGTCCATTGACTTTGGTTTTGTGGCAAGCTGAGTCCGCTTATAAATTGCAGCCAAGACTCCGGCAGCAGGCTGAGCATCTTGAGACACTTTGTCTGCTCTGGGTACGTGATGCCTGCAATCGCCAATTTCGCGTAGAGTTCCCTCATCTTGTCCAGTACGGGCTGCACAGCTTCATTCTCGCTCAACCGCAGCATGGACAGCTCCCGATCCAGCATGAGAGAAGCGGCAACCGATGTCGGAGCGTGCAGGTCCTTGAGCACTGCCCATGCCTTGGGCCCACAATCAATTTCCGGTAGCAGATGCATGATGTGATGCCTCTGGTTCAGCTCCAAGCTTTGTGACAGTAGATAGTACCCAGCAGATGAACGTTCATCCCAGTCCGCTTGCTCTGCCATTTCCTTTGGCCTTGGCTCCGTTCCAATCATGAGCTTCAAGAGGCCAATTTGTCGAAAGTAGAGCTGCATCTTCCATGCCCAATCATCATAGCCATCTCCAGAGAACTTCTCAATGGTGAAGTTCTTCAGCACCTCCTTAAGCAGTGACCCCTGGCTTGTACGCGCTCCCCTTTGCGCTGCAATGCCAGAATCTTGGGTTGAGCTGCCTCCTTGGACTGAAGTATCACCTCCACCAGAGTCCTCTTATCTCCCATCGTATTTTAGGTCCCAAATGCGTGATAATAGCTCTGATACCACTTGTTGGTTAGAGAAGGCTATAAGCAGATGATTCAATGGCTCCTTGGAAATTTCTGCAGCACTTCGTTATGACGCCCAGAAAACTCGCGACCTTCGAATAGCTATATCAAAAACTCCAATCGGTGAAACGATCTGAAAATCGGATATGTTGTAGCTGGCAGTGTCAGCTTTCCACTGAAAGTTGAATCACTCGATTCCGTAGCTAAACGAGTGAGCTATGGCGTTTGGCGCACTGGGGGTAATCTGCCCTAGGAGAAGTTGACAGTCCTCAGAGTCACTATGATTGAAGCTTACAAGTTCAGAGACATGATGGAAAAGGCATTGAAGCATAGTTGGAAGGTGGGGTAGGAAGTGAAGGATGAAAGGGAAGGACCCTGGAGGCCCATGGTCAAGAACATGACAAGAGTCAAAGTTTTGACTCCCCATCCTCAGGTTCAGCCAGCCTGGCAAGACAAATTTCACACTGTGCCAGGTTGGCCTCCAAACCCCAAATGCTGCAGCTGCAAGGTGGGGACAAAAGTCCCACACATGCTGGTCCCTCCTCGTTATAGGGCTCTCCAGCTTTGGTGTAGCAGCTGACAAGGACTTCCAATGAGTTGTAACAAATCCATCAAACATTTCTTCGTAACTTCTTCATATGTGCTCCGATTCCAACAATTCTTGGCTCGTTGGAATGTGCTCGATGTCATGCACAATCCAAGCACATCTGCACAAGCACAAGATGAACATGCAAAGACATGCAAACCCAACAAACCATACAAACAACGTAGCACACAAAACACATGCAACGAAATGATGCGAACAGACGACAGGATGACGTGCAAACGAATATGCACCAACAACACCAAAGTTGGAGAGCCCTAAAACGAGGAGGGACCAGCATGTGTGGGACTTTTGTCCCCACCTTGCAGCTGCAGCACTTGGGGTTTGGAGACCAACCTGACACAGTGTGAATTTTGTCTTGCCAGGCTGGCTGAACCTGAGGATGGGGAGTCAAGACTTTGACTCTTGTCATGTTCTTGACCAAGGGCCTCCAGGGTCCTTCCCTTTCATCCTTCCCTTCCCACCCCACCTTCCAACTATGCTTCAATGCCTTTTCCATCATGTCTCTGAACTTGTAAGCTTCAATCATAGTGACTCTGAGGACTGTCAACTTCTCCTAGGGCAGATTACCCCCCAGTGCGCCAAACGCTATAGCTCACTCGATAAGCTACGGAATCGAGTGATTCAACTTTCAGTAGAAAGCTGACGCTGCAAGCTACAACATATCCGATTTTCATATCGTTTCATCGATTGGAGTTTTGGATATAGCTTTTCGAAGGTCGCAAGTTTTCTGGGCGTCATAACGAAGTGCTGCAGAAATTTCCAAGGAGCCATTGAATCATCTGCTTATAGCCTTCTCTAACCAACAAGTGGTATCAGAGCCCATTATCACGCATTTGGGACCTAAATTACGATGGGAGATAAGGAGGACTCTGGTGGAGGTGATACTTCAGTCCAAGGAGGCAGCTCAACCCAAGATTCTGGCATTGCAGCGCAACGGGGAGCGCGTACAAGCCAGGGGTCACTGCTTAAGGAGGTGCTGAAGAGCTTCACCATTGAGAAGTTCTCTGGAGATGGCTATGATGATTGGGCATGGAAGATGCAGCTCTACTTTCGACAAATTGGCCTCTTGAAGCTCATGATTGGAACGGAGCCCAGGCCAAAGGAAATGGCAGAGCAAGCGGACTGGGATGAACGTTCATCTGCTGGGTATTATCTACTGTCACAAAGCTTGGAGCTGAACCAGAGGCATCACATCATGCATCTGCTACCGGAAACTGATTGTGGGCCCAAGGCATGGGCAGTGCTCAAGGACCTGCACGCTCCGACATCGGTTGCCGCTTCTCTCATGCTGGATCGGGAGCTGTCCATGCTGCGGTTGAGCGAGAATGAACCTGTGCAGCCCGTTCTGGACAAGATGAGGGAACTCTACGCGAAATTGGCGATTGCGGGCATCACGTACCCTGAGCAGACTAAGTGTCTCAAGATGCTCAGCCTGCTGCCGGAGTCTTGGCTGCAATTTATAAGCGGACTCAGCTTGCCACAAAACCAAAGTCAATGGACATTGGAGTGGATTCGCACCAAGATTCTGGAAGAAGATTTTCGTCGCTACACACTGCGCGGAGGTGATGACAGCACCAGCGGCTATGCCATGCAAGGGACATGGAGGGATCGAGGGCGTGGCAATCGCGGTCGCTCTTACTACAGCCAAGGTGGTCGCGGGACTTGGAACCAGCGGGGGCGTGGTGGCGCTGGTGCAAGAGGAAGAGGTGGTCACTCCAACAATGACAACAGTGAACCACGCTTGAGGGGAGAGTGCTGGTATTGCAAGGAAGAAGGGCATCCATGGTTTCGCTGCTCTACCAAGCCCGACTGGTGGACCCCTTGGAACCAATCGCAAAAGGGGAATGGAGGAAAGCAACCACGTGGAGGTGCCAACATGGTAGCTGATCCTGCTGAAGAAACCTCCAAGGATGACAGAGGAATGGGAAATGAGGAGAGGAATGCTGGACAGTTCTACCATGTGTGTGACAAAGATGACAGTGGCACAGCTGTTGCAAGGGCTGGAGAGGAATTGCACCCGCTTGACATGTGGGTCATGGACTCTGGTGCTGCATGGACAATGACACCACGCAAGGATTTGCTGGATGCTGTGCGAGCGCCTCCAATCTCTGAAGTGCGCTCAGCATCCGGACATGCAGTGAAGGTCGCTGGAGTTGGTCGAGCTGCATTCAGAGCACCTGATGGTGGACTGGTTGTGCTGAAGGATGTGTTACTCGTACCGGGGCTGAAGGCCAATCTGATATCGCTGCGCAAGCTAGGCCAGGCCGGAGTCAGCACCACCACCAATGGATCCAAAACATTCAAGGGGCTGCGAGGAGATCGTGTGTTATGGGATTTACACGAAAGCAGGGATGTCTTCAGATCCATGTGGCAGATCCCTGCGCTGATATGGGAATCAACAAAGAAGGAGCTGGGAGTAGTAAAGGCGGGATCTGGAGTCCAGGGGGAGTGCAATGCAGTTAGTGCTGCAGGAGTGATGGTTTCTGCAAGGTCGGGGGAGACTGATTGGGAAACCGCACACAGGCGTCTAGGGCATGTGGCTATGCCATTGCTGCAGCAACTGCATAAGGAAGAAGCAGTAAAGGGGCTGAAGCTTTCTGGGCAACCAAATGATACCAAGTGCGAGACGTGTCTGCTGAGCAAGTTCACACGGTTCCCCTTTCACGGCGTAGCTGGGCAGCACTGGAACTGGTGCACATGGACCTGGTAGGACCTTTTCCAGTTCAAGGAAGAAAGGGGGAAAGATACTTCCTAACAATAGTTGATGACTGGAGCCGGCTGATGTGGGCATACCCGTTGAAGCAGAAGGATCATGCTGCCTCAATAATACGAGATGACTGGCTGCCACTCGTCGAGCGACAATCTGGGCACCCATGCAAGAGCATCAGAACCGACCGAGGTGGAGAGTTTCTAGGAGGAGATCTGACTGCGTGGCTCAAGAAACAAGGCATTGAGCATCAGCTAACGACGTCCTATACCCCTCAGTCAAATGGCGTTGCTGAGAGGGCTAATAGGACCATCCTGGAAACTGCGCGAGCGCTGCTGATCGAATCAGGGCTGGGGAACTCCATGTGGCCTCACGCGGTGAGGCATGCTACAGTGGCAAGGAACCGCGTACTCACAAAGGTAGCTGATGATATGTGGGTGCCGCTGGAGAGGTGGCTTGGAAAGAAGCCTCCAGTGGACATGCTCAGAGTGTTCGGATGCATGGCAGTGGCACATGTCAAGCGGGTGCAATTCCTCTCCAGCCCTTGCAACAGCTGTGCCACTGTCATCTTTGTCACACACATGGTAGAACTGTCCAGCATTCCTCTCCTCATTTCCCATTCCTCTGTCATCCTTGGAGGTTTCTTCAGCAGGATCAGCTACCATGTTGGCACCTCCATGTGGTTGCTTTCCTCCATTCCCCTTCTGCGATTGGTTCCAAGGGGTCCACCAGTCGGGCTTGGTAGGGCAGCGAAACCATGGATGCCCTTCTTCCTTGCAATACCAGCACTCTCCCCTCAAGCGTGGTTCACTGTTGTCATTGTTGGAGTGACCACCTCTTCCTCTTGCACCAGCGCCACCACGCCCCCGCTGGTTCCAAGTCCCGCGACCACCTTGGCTGTGGTAAGAGCGACCGCGATTGCCACGCCCTCGATCCCTCCATGTCCCTTGCATGGCATAGCCGCTGGTGCTGTCATCACCTCCGCGCAGTGTATAGCGACGAAAATCTTCTTCCAGAATCTTGGTGCGAATCCACTCCAATGTCCATTGACTTTGGTTTTGTGGCAAGCTGAGTCCGCTTATAAATTGCAGCCAAGACTCCGGCAGCAGGCTGAGCATCTTGAGACACTTTGTCTGCTCTGGGTACGTGATGCCTGCAATCGCCAATTTCGCGTAGAGTTCCCTCATCTTGTCCAGTACGGGCTGCACAGGTTCATTCTCGCTCAACCGCAGCATGGACAGCTCCCGATCCAGCATGAGAGAAGCGGCAACCGATGTCGGAGCGTGCAGGTCCTTGAGCACTGCCCATGCCTTGGGCCCACAATCAATTTCCGGTAGCAGATGCATGATGTGATGCCTCTGGTTCAGCTCCAAGCTTTGTGACAGTAGATAATACCCAGCAGATGAACGTTCATCCCAGTCCGCTTGCTCTGCCATTTCCTTTGGCCTTGGCTCCGTTCCAATCATGAGCTTCAAGAGGACAATTTGTCGAAAGTAGAGCTGCATCTTCCATGCCCAATCATCATAGCCATCTCCAGAGAACTTCTCAATGGTGAAGTTCTTCAGCACCTCCTTAAGCAGTGACCCCTGGCTTGTACGCGCTCCCCTTTGTTGGTGCATATTCGTTTGCACGTCATCCTGTCGTCTGTTCGCATCATTTCGTTGCATGCGTTTTGTGTGCTACGTTGTTTGTGTGGTTTGTTGGGTTTGCATGTCTTTGCATATTCATCTTGTGCTTGTGCAGATGTGCTTGGATTGTACATCAGATCGAGCGCATTCCAACGAGCCAAGAATTGTTGGAATCGGAGCACATATGAAGAAGTTACCAAGAAATGTTTGATGGATTTGTTACAACTCATTGGAAGTCCTTGGCAGCTGCTACACCAAAGTTGGAGAGCCCTAAAACGAGGAGGGACCAGCATGTGTGGGACTTTTGTCCCCACCTTGCAGCTGCAGCACTTGGGGTTTGGAGACCAACCTGACACAGTGTGAATTTTGTCTTGCCAGGCTGGCTGAACCTGAGGATGGGGAGTCAAGACTTTGACTCTTGTCATGTTCTTGACCAAGGGCCTCCAGGGTCCTTCCCTTTCATCCTTCCCTTCCCACCCCACCTTCCAACTATGCTTCAATGCCTTTTCCATCATGTCTCTGAACTTGTAAGCTTCAATCATAGTGACTCTGAGGACTGTCAACTTCTCCTAGGGCAGATTACCCCCCAGTGCGCCAAACGCTATAGCTCACTCGATAAGCTACGGAATCGAGTGATTCAACTTTCAGTGGAAAGCTGACGCTGCAAGCTACAACATATCCGATTTTCATATCGTTTCATCGATTGGAGTTTTGGATATAGCTTTTCGAAGGTCGCAAGTTTTCTGGGCGTCATAACGAAGTGCTGCAGAAATTTCCAAGGAGCCATTGAATCATCTGCTTATAGCCTTCTCTAACCAACACCCTTTGCCCTGCAATGCCAGAATCTTGGGTTGAGCTGCCTCCTTGGACTGAAGTATCACCTCCACCAGAGTCCTCCTTATCTCCCATCGTATTTTAGGTCCCAAATGCATGATAATAGGCTCTGATACCACTTGTTGGTTAGAGAAGGCTATAAGCAGATGATTCAATGGCTCCTTGGAAATTTCTGCAGCACTTCGTTATGACGCCCAGAAAACTCGCGACCTTCGAATAGCTATATCCAAAACTCCAATCGGTGAAACGATATGAAAATCGGATATGTTGTAGCTGGCAGCGTCAGCTTTCCATTGAAAGTTGAATCACTCGATTCCGTAGCTTAACGAGTGAGCTATGGCGTTTGGCGCACTGGGGGGTAATCTGCCCTAGGAGAAGTTGACAGTCCTCAGAGTCACTATGATTGAAGCTTACAAGATCAGAGGCATGATAGAAAAGGCATTGAAGCACAGTTGGAAGGTGGGGTAGGAAGGGAAGGATGAAAGGGAAGGACCCTGGAGGCCCATGGTCAAGAACATGACAAGAGTCAAAGTTTTGACTCCCCATCCTCAGGTTCAGCCAGCCTGGCAAGACAAAATTCACACTGTGCCAGGTTGGCCTCCAAACCCCAAATGCTGCAGCTGCAAGGTGGGGACAAAAGTCCCACACATGCTGGTCCCTCCTCGTTATAGGGCTCTCCAACTTCGGTGTAGCAGCTGACAAGGACTTCCAACGAGTTGTAACAAATCCATCAAACATTTCTTCGTAACTTCTTCATATGTGCTCCGATTCCAACAATTCTTGGCTCGTTGGAATGTGCTCGATGTCATGCACAATCCTAGCACATCTGCACAAGCACAAGATGAACATACAAAGACATGCAAACCCAACAAACCATACAAACAACGTAGCACACAAAACACATGCAAACGAAATGATGCGAACAGACGACAGGATGACGTGCAAATGAATATGCACCAACATAGGCGACAGCAACGCGCTCGAGATCCAACTTACAGATTACCGTTTGAGTCAGCGAGCAGATTGTTATCAAATCCGACTGTGCTCTCCATCTATCATTATAGGCACATCTGAGCCTATTGTGGTCATAACATATTGTGCACTACGATCCCAAGGGACACCACTCGCAGCTCAGCAATGCAGAATTCGCAAAGAGTGTTGTAAAGTGAGTGACTATCCTCTTTCGGTTTTAATATCCTGCAGAAACATGGCCCATATTGACACTTTGCTTGCGGTTGTGACCAGGTTGCTGACAGAGAAGCAGGTCGAGGTGGAGCATTGGCGTGACAGACTGCCATCAGGGCACCACGACTCTGTCGTCGAGGACATGAAGGCTCGGCTGAATATCATGAAGTGCCAGAGCGAAGGGGTGCGTCTTTGGTTTCTGAACATGCAGCCCCCATTTCTGCGGTTCTCCGCCAACGATATGTATCTGCACCACTTCTGTGTATTTGAGTCACATCGAAATGTCTTTCAAGCTTTATCTTTTCTTCTCCCGATGACTTCCTACAGACAATCAGCAAGATTCTAAAGGCCGTTGCTGTGGGGGCGGGAGCGTCTATCATATACCTGTTCAGTAAGTTGCTGGTGACGTGGGACAGCCTCGTAAAGGTCGAGCGCGACGACGATCTACCAAGTGACCTTGCTGGACCAACTCCCGAACGAAGAAGTAGCGGAGTTCAATGTGCTTGGAGAGGCCATGGAAGACAGGGTCCTTTGTGAGATGGATAGTGCTGGGGTTGTCGCACCAGATGTAAGAAATAGAGTTGAAATATATGATTAGGTAAGGAGCCCAAGGCTCTATAACTACATGGCAAGGTGAGAGTGAATGGATGAAGGGGGAATTGGAGGGAATCCTCATTGGGATCTCCGGAATCTCCAATTGGGTAATTGGAGATTGGGGGGATCACAATTGGGTGAGGTTGGGATTTGTGAGTACACCCCAACCCACTAGAACATTCACAATCTAAACTAGGATATAAAAGTACAAATACAAAAGTGGTATGTGCGGTCTATTTCTAACACACCCCCATAGACTGCAAACCCGGTCAAGGAGCACATAGCCCCATGGAACGGAGAAGGCGATGGTGGTCAGCCTTGCCAAGAGCCTTGGTAAAGAGGTCGGCGAGGTTGCAATCTGAGGCGATGTACCGTACCGTCAGCTGGTCACTCTGAACAAGATCTCGAATGAAGAAATGACGAAGTTCGATGTGCTTGGTGCGAGAGTGGAACACAGGATCCTTGGTAAGGTGAATGGCACTCTGGTTGTCACACCACAGGGTGGGTGACTGCTTGGGGTAGCCTAACTCAGCGAGGAGAAAGGAGAGCCAGCGTGCCTCTTGAGCAGCCATTGTGCCCGCGTAGAGCTCGGCCTCGCAGGACGACAGGGAGACTGCAGAGGACCGAGTGGAGCGCCAGCTGATGACTCCGCTACCAAGGGTGAAGCAGTACCCTTGGGAGGAGCGTCTGTCAGTCTGGTCATCGGCCCATGAGGAGTTTGTGTATCCCTCGAGCTTGACTGGAGAGGTACCACCAAGAGTGAGGATGTGAGACTTGGTGGCTTGTAGATAGCGGAGGACCCTCTTGGCTGCAGACCAATGCGAGGCAGTGTAGCGTCCGGGGGAGACGTACCGAGAGAGGACACTAACCGGGTAAGCCAA